AGCTTCCCAGCTGTGGGACAGCTGTTAAGCCCCTTCATCCCTGTTCACAGCTCACTAAACTTGTTTCCGGACCTGCATTGGCTTATTGCACACATCTGTTCTTTGTGAGACATTAACAACCTCACTTTCAAACTCAGAGATAAAATGGATCGTTGTTTAAATCTGGATGAATTTCATGGGGCACCGTGGACTCCAGCAAACACAAATGCTGCTTTTTACATGATGTGGAGCCAGTCCAGAGTTCAACACCACATGTGATGGCTTTAATAAATGTATTTCAAATGTAAACACTGATATTTAAGAACTAAAGTTCACTCTAAAGCACAAATGTAAAAACATGAGGTATTTTTCATAAGTAGCAAAGTAGCAAACTAATCCTGTCTGTTGACTGGCTCTGTTAGTCGGAGCCAGTCATTAGGAGCAAGGTTCAGCCTCCATCAGCATCACGTTATGAACTCCCTGCTAGTTTACTCAGGCTTCAGTTCTATGGCATTTATTATCATGTGAGAGGACTACTTATGGTGAGTTAGTGTGCTAAACAGAGCCCTTAGTTTAAAAAAGAAAGGAGGAACCTTGACAGTGATCTAACCCAACAGCTATTCATAACTGGGCCACAGAGGATGAAGTTTTGCCATCCAAGAACAACTTAAGAGTAATTGACTGTGTCACCACAATATATAATTTACCAAACAGTTCCAGCGGTCAAACATCATAACTTGCCACTAAGGAGAGTGGAGTTGTTTTACAAGCTTTCAGCAGATTCGGGTGTTGATTCTGACGTCTTAAAACCCCCCCAAAACAGCACATAAAATAACATCAGAAATGACAGAGACAAAATCCAGACATTCCCCTACATGCACCACGAACAAATGAAAACTGAAGTTCCACTAATGTCCTAATGATTTCAACAAATAACATTTAAGAACTGTTTCATAAGTGAAAGCTTGAAGATAATTGACTTTCACTGGGGTCAGGGGTCAGTTCACTATCAGGTGGACTAGTAACTTTGGTGGAATATTGGACAAAAAAGAAAATACAATGTAGCTGTTGCAGGATTGTGCCTTTCATGGAAATAAAAGAGGGAACATCCTCAACTGTCCATGAAAATGTTCCATGACTAGACAGTCTACATGTTTTCCAGCACAGTGGCCAAACGGCCGTTTAACCTTTGCACTCTGTTGGTGAGTCAGAATGAACCTGTTTCCCCCCCATCAGCCTCGGTGAATGTGCTCGTTGGAACAAGTAAAAAAGTACCGTCAAACGCCTGTGGCCATCCTAACCTTGATGAGTCACATGTGGTACTGGGACGATGTCAGCTCATGATGAGTCGAGCAGACATCTGAGTGGATGTGAGGAGGATAAACCGGGACAGGCAGGCGTGCCACAAGCTTCCAATTCCTTTTAAAAAAAAGGGCTGTTCATGGTGTTTATTAAAACAGCTCATTTTTCAATCAGCTGAGCAGTTAATTGATTTTCTTAATTAATTAACTGCAGCTATTTCTAAGATTGACAGAAACGCTGGGTGGTGCCAGAATTTCAGGTGTGAGCTGGATGCTAAAGGGACTCATCAAGGAGGGATTTATCCCCCATATAAGAGAGGTGACTTTCAGTCTTAACACATTGTGGTCATGCATCAGAGAGAGTATTAAATACTGACGCTCAATTTGTTCAGAGACTTATCTCATCACGTTTTTTTTTTTATATAAGCCCAATGTAGTTAAGACTCCACAGTAATTATGATAAAGCGAGGGAAATAAGGAGCTATCAGTTTATCAGCCATCAGCCAAGACTGTGCTAAAAACTGGCTTTAAATGTAAACTAACTGTGAATGCTCACCAACATTTTAGCTCTAAAATGGCCTCCATGTTGTTCAAGTCTCAATCCTAATAACATTTCAAAGCCACAGTCATTGAGTCACAACAATCAAGTCTTCTAGCATTAATCCGGGACACACCCACTCAGAGCACATTTAACACACCACGTCAGAGAGAGCGTGCCGATTTGCTGGCTCCTGTTTTACACTAGTGCTCATGATTCCTTTTGTGTCTCGTGGGTTTTAATCTTGACAGACTGTGAAGGGGAGGTCTGTGTCCTCGTTTCCAGACCTTGCTCATAAATAAGTATTATCCTAGCGATCTGAGGGAGCCCCATTGGGTAAAGAGGCTGTGTGTTTAATGAGTGTGTCACAACGGTAACTATTGGTGCTTAGCAGAAAAAAAAAAGTCATTAAATCTTTGTTCCTTAAAAGTTGAAATAAATGCAATATGATGAATATTCCCTTCTGATGGGACTTCCAGGGAGTTAAACTGGGGCTAAAGGCTGGTTTGGAATATGGAACTCTAGCCTGAGCAGGAAAAACCAGTGAGCACCACAGTCTTCAGACTAGAGCTTCAGATGCTCTCCAGCCACTCGCCTGGCATGAAAACCTGGCACACCTGCAGTGTAATCTCCCTTAAACTCTTTTATTAAGAGTTCTAATTGCAGCTGGGCCCTTTTCCCTTTAGGAGATCGGGCATAGGGACAAAAACAGGGCTTATTTACCCAGTGACAGGCTGCAGGCATATGGCGATGCGTGGGCGCTTCAGCAGACAGCAGCCATGGCGTGGTACCCAGCAGTGACACTTCACTGATTCATAGCATCACTCTGACTGACAGAGCACTGCACATAACATGCATTTACCAACAAACAGCCCACTCAAATCCAGGTAAAGCAGTAGGAGGAACAAAATTCACTTTATTTTTCCCAATGACAGGGTCATCACCATGCTAACACGACCCTTCCATACAATTTCATGGGCCACATCAGACTGGAACAGTGAAAGCTTTACAGGTAATCAAATCTAAGCCGGAAGGTAACCTTTTTATTTGATATGATCACAATAGAGTCAGTCATTCCTTTGGTTTATTTTCCTCCCGCAGACAGCAGAATTTTATTAAATTGCTTTAATGTTTTGCACATTAAATGCATTGGCATCGCTCAGGCTTTCCAACAGAAGAGACTACACTACTTAAAAGATAATGAGGAAACAATCTTGGCAGATGCAATTGATCCCACTGTTTTATAGCACAAGGATTATCAAAGGATTATCTAACAGTAATTATGCACTCAAGGTCGACACACTGCTTTCATATTCACACTGTGAGTGGCAGCAAGGTGTGTGTACGACTATATGTGTTTTGATAAAACAAGGCAGGGAATAAAGGTTAGGGTGCTTGAGTGTGTATTGATGTGTTTGCATGTCGGTATGCGGAGAAGGGAAAAAAGCTTCCTGTCTGGCATATCTCGACTAAGTTGCAAAGCGTCACAGAGAAATCACTTATCTTTACCAAACAGGCGCCAAAAGCCGATATCTACACAGCCAGCAGCAGCAACTCTCGGAACCCCCAATATGGACTATCTGAAAATCTGGAAAAAGTGAAAAGCCGGACACTCCCAACCTCGGGGTGTGTTGGAGGTGTGTATTTGATAGGGATGCCATGAACTGTAGCATCAACACGTGCAGAGTTTTGTTGACTCTGGGGATTAAAGCTAAAGATGGCGGTCCCTGATCCACTTCACATGGCAGCACGTTTTTCTCGCAAACCCCTGCGCTTCACTACCCTGGAAAGACCATTTTCACTACATCACACCTTATTGTTAACATTATCAAATGTGCAAAACAGCAATCTTCCAAAAGGTCAGTCTGTTTTGCTGCCTTTTAAGCAGCTCTGGGCTTGCATGAGCTGACAGCGAGGTGTCCGTTGTTCTCAAAATCGAACTAGGGAAAAATTGATGTTTGACAGCAGACTATTCTATTTAGACCATTGTCTTTGAGACTGAATACTTGTCTTACCATCCACACACCTACGCCTTGGCTTCTTTTTGAAATGACTGATGCATAATAGAGATGTGGAGAATGGAAGAGACACAGCGAGGGGCTGCTGTGAAACTTCCTTTGCAGTTAGCAACAGTCTGGAATGCCATGGAGCTCAAGTGATGATGATCAGCGGACGAAGCGAAGTGCTTAGCTGTGTCGTTAACATGCTGTTCACAGACATGGTGGAGAAAGCAGTCAGTTTGATGGATGGGCAATGAAGGTTAACTGTTGGGTTATTTGGTCTGATGAAAACAGTTTTTGTTCACAGAGAAACAGTCATTGTAAGACAGTGTGCTTGCTAATGTAATATAACAGTGTGTTAAAAAAACAAAAATACAACATGGAATTGATTACCTTCCACCAATATCACAAGCCAAAAGGCTCAGCAGACATTTTTGCTCAGCTTTATGTATTTGAAATATCTGCGATTAGCAAACAAAACACATTGCCGATGTGTGATATTTAATGTTTGTTGCAGACTTTGTTTCTCTCCTATTGATTGATACCTTTTAAAAATCTTTTCAAGGGAACACATTTCACATACATAGATGACATCCGTCATCCAATGTGTGACTGTTCTCTGGCTAAGGCCACTTTGAGCAGAGTCAATGACAGTGGACCTTCGGAGGCAGAAAAAGCCTCTAAAGTTGCAGGAGCTGCTCTACAGTCGTCTGAATCAACATCAGTTGTTTCTCTTTATTTCTTTTTTGCCATTTCTATTTCATGAAGGGCAGGAGATCCAAATGCAAGGCTTCCATTCACAGAGACGACTGGAATCAAGGTGGAGAACTGTGAATATGCAGTGAATGTCAAAGCTACTCGTAAAATTTGAAAACTGTAATCTGTGTAAGGGTGCACGATTCTCAGATCCAGCAGATATAACCAAAACTCACTGCATTCTGACGGTAAACTAAAAGACTTAAAATACTCGTAAATTGCGCACGATTTTAAACAGAAGCTGTGGATTATGGTATATCACAGATCCAGCGTTTTCTCATAAATGATCGTAAATATGCTACAAGCTTTTGTTAAAGCCTGCACTTCTGAGAGCCTTGAGAAGCCTTTGTGTGTGTGTGTGTGTGTGTCACATGTGGTGAGGGGGTGTGGAGATGCGCCATTGACTCAAAGGGGTGTGATGCTCACCAGTTGTGGAGGAGATGTTGACGTCAATGCTGATCTCAGGGATGCCTCCTCCCTTCAGCGCCGCCACGCAGGTGTATGTGCCAAAGTCGGTAAACTTGAGGTCGATGATGTCCAGGTTGGTGGTCCCGGGTGAGATGTCAGGGTCCGTCTGGGTGATAACCATACGCTCCGAGCTCCGCAGGCCACGGCCGTTCTTAAGCCAGCTAAATGTCAGCTCCTCTGGAGGTGTTGCCTCCACCTATGACACACAACCCATTGTTATTTCCGCTTTAATTAGGAGTGGTTTACTGGAGCCTGTCGTGAAGCACGCTTTCTCTGCCACGGCTCTCCTGTAATCATACCTGACAAGATATCTTCACTTCGCGTCCAATCTGGATGTTGTCATCATTGTGGTAAGGGTCAGGAGTGATCCAGAATCGCCCCTTCTTCAAAGCTGTGGAAGAAAAATGGATTTGTTCAGGCATAGATTGGCACGTAAACAAAGTGACATCTTTGACAAACAGCTGAACTTTTCTTAGTGTCCCTATCTGAGCTGGAAACCTTAGTGACGCATTTCTAGTCAATTCTACTTGTTCAGCTTCAGCTGTCAAATATCCTGCAAGGCTTCACTGTGTCACAGCTTTATGAAATCTAAAAGAATTTTTTTTTTAGTATCGGGGTCATGAAATCTTGTGTCTCATCTTAAACGAAAAAGGTAAGCTCAGGCGTTGAGAAAAGTAAGACTCCTCTAATAAACTGTATAAAAAAAACCTCAGCTGTCAATGCAGCTGTGGGGTCAAACAGAGATCTTTACAGAGAAAAAAGGAATAACGTGTCGGCTTCAAAGATTAAAGCTTTGAACCAGCTTTAATATTGATAGATACAGACTTAAGGAACAGTGTGCTGAAGCAGTGCGCACACAGGGTGTAGTCTGAGAGATACCTAACATAATATCCACCATTTCTAATCCAATTTGGTTTGAAAACTCCATTTTCAAAACATTGCTCTCTGAATGGAAAATAGAAGATGATTTCATTATAATGCAGGCAGTATTGGCTCCAAAGCCCGCATCTACAGTTCAATTCATCTACACTGCAAAAAAATATATGAAAAAAAAGAAAACGGAAAAAAAAGGCTGACGGCACCATGGAAATCTTTTCATCTAGCAATTCCCCACTGATATTATCATATTCAGTTTGGTAAAGGGAAAAAGCGAAAAACAAAACCTGCGTGTCAGATTTAAACACAGGAAATTGAAAGTGCAAAACACATTGTGATGCCTGCCAAGCCGCGCGCTAAAGGAGACGCGAACGACACCCGCCTCCTTGACATGATCTTTCCCCTCACGTTTGAAATCAGAGTCGGCAGGCAGAGAATCCTATTTCTGACACGTGTCAGATACAAAAAATACAATCATGTCGACTCCCTCAAACACCCCTTTGCATTTGCATTCATTCTTGTACCGCACATACTTTTACACTGGAAGGCAAAGCCCATCAGTCATGATGTGTATAATTCAGTGTTACTGGCACGGAAAATGTGTCATTTACTATAATATGATGTGCAGCATATTATCTGTGACCTTTATGGATACAAAACACAACATATTACCAGGAACCCGTGTTCATTTTCCATTTTGGCTCAGCTCTGCTTCACTGTGTACATTCACGGCACAGATTCCAATTTCCTTAAAGCCAACATACACAGCCAAAGGTTAATAAGACAAGACACAGTCCATAGTGGAAGCCATTAAATAGACATGTCTGTTAGGGACCAGAGATTTTGAGTCATCATGGAAGTCAGAGGGTGAAAACATCCTGAGGCAGAGTTGTGCATAACGTTGCTGAGGCACAGTTGTACATCTTGACAGTTTGAAAAGGTTTTTGTGTCACAGTGACATCCTAAGAAGAGTTGGTCGCCGCTTCATGAGGAATGGCTACACGCACACACACACACACATATAGACACCCACGTGTCGGCGCGACTCACTGTGCTGTCACAGGTGACAGCGGATAAACATTTGCAATAAGCCTCTTTTTGCATTCCTCTTGCTCTGGAGTGTTCTTCTCCCAGCTTAAGGGGACTGTCACACAACCAGGCCTTTAACAATCACACACACAGTACTGCTTCACTTTAAGACTGGATGTGGTCGCGTTTGAGGGGATTTCACTTAAAAAGAACATACACAGCTCATTCTCCTCAGCTGCTTGGGTCCTTTCTTTTTGCAGATAGCCCACGTTGAGTGAGAGTTTCCGTCTCCGTAACCTTTACTGAGCATCACAGTATTAGTGGGATCACAAAACATTTAGCTTGAGTTAACCCGGTCAGATCCCAGAAATACAGGCGTCACATTTCTGCTGTGATTACTTTAAACAAATATAAAGGTGACGGCTATGACCATTACAGGTTCGAGATGTTCATTTGGAGGCAGATGAGTCAGAAACAGCAACCTGCTCAGGAAAACCCTACTATGTGCAGTACTTTCCAGAGCAGGTCCCATGTGGTCTCTGACAGGAAAAAGTACAAGCTCTTAAAGTCATGGTGGCATTCTTAAATTCTCCGCTTTATATTCACTAAGTTTGATACATTTTTTTGCTTTCTGATATTCATTTTGAACATGAACGAGGCCTGAGAATAAATGAAATATTTGAGTTTCTGTAGCTTCGAGGCTTTTTAAGAAAACAACAACAAACAAATCTCTTTTTTTTAATATGCAAAATCCACATTCAGCTCAGAAGGCTCACCAGAGGGTAGGGGCAGACAGCCATTGATGCATTTTCAACACTACCTGAATGCAGCTCATTTAAGCCGCTGGACGGTACACACTAAATCTGAACTGTTGTAGGTCATGGGGCTGAGAACATACGACTGATGTCTCAGATATTTTTGTTTTCGCCATGTTAACTGTGTTAAGATGGGAAAAACATCAAGTCATGACGGTCCTGAATGATTGCACTGGTAGTTATATAACAGACAAGATACGCTATGAAGTTTGAGAGACGGAAAGCTTGAGGTGAAACAGAGGAGATATCACAGCTAGCCTTAGTTAGCTCTGCCGCTTATGCATGTGAAGTCAAAAACTACAAAGCTAAACCTTTGAATAAAAGTGCACACGTTTTTTTGTCTGGCCAATGAAGCCATAACAAGAACGTCAACAGGACCTATGCAGTTCTTTCTCTGGAAGTAGTAAATTATCATATATATAGTGTCCACCATCTTTCTGCATATTTATGATTAAGGAAGTCCTGACTGATGAAAGGAAGTGCTGATAGGTCCACACCTATGTGCTCATGCTCCACTTTTTAATATCTATGATAATACCAACAAAACAAATGGAATAGCCTTTTTTTTTATCATACTGATCAGAATATGTAAATTCATTTTATTTTAATTTAGTAACTATAATAACAAGATGTCTCCAGCTACCTTTTTTTTATACCTTTTAGGAATAAAAATCAAATCTAGATGATCACTGGTATGTATAACTGAAGTGAAGATGGAGCCAAGGTTCATTTGGAATTTGAGAATTTGTTGTCTATAATCCGATGCACAGCTATACAGCTGATGCACAGCTATACCAATTCATTCTCTACATTTCCCAGAATGGTGACTCAGCCATGCTTCATTTCCTCGCGGAGCTGCAGTGCATTCATGCATATTTCAGAATAGGTTCCCTCCTCCATTCAAAAATCCTTTCCTAACATTTTATCTAACCATAAATAATGAATAGCAAGTAGGGAGTCCTGTAAAGCGACTACATTTGTGTACAAGACAGATAAGTAGGCATGACTTCCTCCAGTTGGGGTAAATATTGTTGGCCAGCTCCACTGACAAAAATGTAGCCTTAGAGAAAAAATCTAAAACGGGAGTTCTTACTGGATTTTTTCCTTTCATTTTTTAAGTAAAGACTGTGATGCGTTTTTGAGGTGGGAAGTGCAAGCGCTTGGAGACTTAATTGGGTGGCGCTGCATAATCACTGTTCTTTACCCACCCCTGATGTGGCAAAAATCACATGAATCTTTGATGAGGGCGCTGCTTGGAAACAGCACTTTCCCATTTACTGTGATTCCCACAATGTCACACAATTTCCACAACCTCATAAATAATACCTCGTGAGGGCACAATTGTTTGTTTATTCAATATAAATTTGTGTCTCTGTGGCCAAATGGTACTGTTCAAAGGAGTTGAGCCACCCTTCATGTCTTTCTAAACGAAAATGGAGAAAACTTGGAAAATGTGGGGGGAGAGAAAACTAAATTAAAATACAACATTCAAAAACCGCTAGCACAACTCTAACAAAAACTGCTTGAATAATGTTGAATTCTGGCCTCTGGGGAAGTGAGTGCTCACAGTGGATGGATCAGCTGAAGGTCTAGATTTATCTTTCAGGTCCTGATTCTGTTCTGAGTCTGTTGGAGTTTCCTATTTTTTAAGGAGGTTTCTTTCAGACACTGTGATTTTGCTGCAGACTGTATCAGTCGACCTGTTTCTTCTTTGCCACTTGTCCAGTTTCCTTCTCTTTTTTGAGGAGAGACTGATAAATAGATAGATACATCCTAAAGATACTCAGTTAGTTTATCCCAAAATGTTTTTCAAAAAGCCTTTCAAACTGTGTTATGAGAAAGGTTTTTCTTTTTTTATTGATGCAACTAAACTAGTTTGAAAAAAATGTGTACTCATTTGTAACTATCTGGCAGTAACAACGTGCCTGCAGGTCCAATCAGAGACTGTTTCTTTTCTCAAGTGTAAACACAGAGCTGCAATGTTTCCGGGAAGCGTTTTTGTTGTGCTTTAAAGACTCATTGGTCAGTATTAACTAGTTTGATAAATAAATAATGTAAAATGTCATTATTATTTTCATCATTAAAATGTACAGGATTGCTGTAGGTAGCAGAATGTGCTCCAGTAGATGCAGAGTTTGAGACAGAAGAACCTGCCTGCCTTTAAACTTAAAGCACAGGAAAGAGCACATCACTGGCAGAGATTGGGAAACATCTGGATGATTTGCGAAAAGCATCACAAGAACTGTTCGAGTGACTCAGAGGCCTCAAACACCAAGTCAACACATGCACAAACAAATCTCACATGCATCATTGATGACTTTTGGTAGATGGGTCCCTTTTATCATCATGCTTCCCGTCATTGAACCTTGAGTGTTGCAGCTTGCAGAAAAACGTGAGACATCCACCACAGGGACTCTTCTCATCACGGCGATATCAGGAGGCTAAATGGGAGCTCTGTTTGTTCGCACATTTGCATCGCATGTCTCCTCTTTCCTGTTTTTCCCTGAGGGGTTGCAGGCAGTTCAACTGCGGCGCAGTGAGTGTTCAAAGTATTCTTTTGGATCATTTCCGTACATATTACGGTGTTCCCGTTCTCCCCCTTTTGCTGCAAACTGAAAAGCTTCTGCCTGTAGCGTGCCTTTTTGACGCTCCGTAGATTTAATAGCTTGTG